GAAGGGAGCCAGACCACTAGCCGGAAGGGAGCCAGGCCACTAGCCGGAAAGGAGCCAGGCCACTAGCCGGAAGGGAGCCAGACCACTAGCCGGAAAGGAGCCAGGCCACTAGCCGGAAGGGAGCCAGGCCACTAGCCAGAAAGGAGCCAGGCCACTAGCCGGAAAGGAGCCAGGCCACTAGCCGGAGGAGCCAGACCACTAGCCGGAAGGGAGCCAGGCCACTAGCCGGAAGGGAGCCAGACCACTAGCCGGAAGGGAGCCAGGCCACTAGCCGGAAGAGAGCCAGGCCACTAGCCGGAAGGGAGCCAGACCACTAGCCGGAAAGGAGCCAGGCCACTAGCCGGAAAGGAGCCAGGCCACTAGCCGGAAGGGAGCCAGACCACTAGCCGGAAGGGAGCCAGACCACTAGCCGGAAGGGAGCCAGGCCACTAGCCGGAAGGGAGCCAGACCACTAGCCGGAAAGGAGCCAGGCCACTAGCCGGAAGGGAGCCAGGCCACTAGCCAGAAAGGAGCCAGGCCACTAGCCGGAAAGGAGCCAGGCCACTAGCCGGAAGGGAGCCAGACCACTAGCCGGAAGGGAGCCAGGCCACTAGCCGGAAGGGAGCCAGACCACTAGCCGGAAGAGAGCCAGGCCACTAGCCGGAAGGGAGCCAGACCACTAGCCGGAAAGGAGCCAGGCCACTAGCCGGAAGGGAGCCAGACCACTAGCCGGAAGGGAGCCAGAACACTAGCCGGAAGGGAGCCAGGCCACTAGCCGGAAGGGAGCCAGACCACTAGCCGGAAGAGAGCCAGGCCTCTAGCCGGAAGGGAGCCAGACCACTAGCCGGAAAGGAGCCAGGCCACTAGCCGGAAGGGAGCCAGACCACTAGCCGGAAGGGAGCCAGACCACTAGCCGGAAAGGAGCCAGGCCACTAGCCGGAAGGGAGCCAGACCACTAGCCGGAAAGGAGCCAGGCCACTAGCCGGAAGGGAGCCAGGCCACTAGCCGGAAGGGAGCCAGGTCGGCCAGGCTGGCTGAAGATGTTGTTAGTGTCCCGGGGTCGCCTTGACGTTCGTCTTCATCATGTACTGTTCACGTTCCCTCCAGGGAGAGCCAGTAAGGGGACACACGGAGGTAATGAAGGAGGACAGGAGGGACCGGAGAAGATAACAGAGGCCGTGAGCAAGGATTAAGGCAGGCAGGAAGGAGGGTAGGGGAAGGGAGGGTGGGAATGGAAGGGCAGGGAAGGGAAGACACGTGAAGGTGACTGAAGCCTGAATTCACAGAAAAGGAAACAAAGCAAAACACACACACACACACACACACACACACACACACACACACACACACACACACACACACACACACACACACACACACACACACATACCTTAGGGGGCCTGGTAGCCTGGTGGATAGCGCGCAGGACTCGTAATTCTGTGGCGCGGGTTCGATTCCCGCACCAGGCAGAAACAAATAGGCAAAGAATTAACATGCGCCAGTTATCTCGGGAGTTGTGAACTTTGTGAACAATCTAACACATTGAACAGATCAATGCACAATGAAAACAATTCACGTCCAAATTTGTCTAAACAAATATATGTTGTTTAGTGAATCAAATTTAAACTCATGTCAAGTGAGCCAAACATGTGAGTTAAAATGGTAGGCCAAAGGGCTCAATAGTTGGCTGAGTTTGTTTTGTTGTGTAGTGCTTCGTCGAGGACTAATCTATTGTCGTTGTGTCGGGTGATTATTTCAGTGTTGCATGTCAGGATATCTCTGGTGATGAACTGGTTGTGGGTAGTGATTATATGTTCGTTGATGGAGCCTTGTTGCTTGTGCATTACCAGGCATCTTGAAAGAGATGATGTGTCTTGCTAATATACTGAGATGGTTGGAGCTGCAGTCCCTTAGTAAGCATGTGAAGGCAAGGCGATATTCATCTTTTTCAAGGGGTCTTGGCTTGGTGTCGGGAGAGTAATGTATTTCAAGACGCTTTCCTCCGTTCTGTGAGCCGTGGAAAAGATGTTCCCGGAGAATATTTTAATACAAGGAATAGATACTCAAGTGTTGAGTTGAGAGGCAGCATGGTAGCAAAACTTCCTTTTATTGATCTCTCTGACATATCCATTACAGTATCCACGAAGAACTAGGACCTGCATCACTTTACTAAGTTTCTCGTCAACTTGCTTCCAACTGGAGCTGTGTGTGTGAGAGAGAGCACGGTTGTGAGAGTGGCGTCGGCGTCGGTAGCAGTAAAATAGGTACCTGGGTGTTAGTCAGCTGTCACGGGCTGCTTCCTAGGGGTGGAGGCCTGGTCGAGGACTGGGCCACTGGGGAGACTAAAGACCGGAAATCATCTCAAGATAACCTCAAGATAAGATAGAGAGGCAAGATACTAGCATTAAGGAACATTCCTATGGTGGTTTCCTTAGTGGACATTACAGTGTGAAATCAACCATTTCTTTCCGAGACTGTCCCCTACCACCCATCTTTCACTACACCCCCACCCAGCTGCCTCTCCAGAGTCCGCTAACACCCATCACCCGGTACCCATCCATCACCCAGTACACACCCATCTCTCATCTCCCTAGTCAGGTGCGATCAGGTGTCCAAAACCTGTCTCTGGTACTGATGCATACTGACACCTGTTGCATAGTGGCATGTGGTCCATTTGCGACTTGGTGAGAGATACATACTGGTGAAAGAGAGAGAGAGAGAGAGAGAGAGAGAGAGAGAGAGAGAGAGAGAGAGAGAGAGAGAGAGAGAGAGAGAGAGAGAGAGAGAGAGAGAGAGAGAGAGAGAGAGAGAGAGAGAGAGAGAGAGAGAGAGAGAGAGAGAGAGAGAGAGAGAGAGAGAGAGAGAGAGAGAGAGAGAGAGAGAGAGAGAGAGAGAGAGAGAGAGAGAGAGAGAGAGAGAGAGAGAGAGAGAGAGAGAGAGAGAGAGAGAGAGAGAGAGAGAGAGAGAGAGAGAGAGAGAGAGAGAGAGAGAGAGAGAGAGAGAGAGAGAGAGAGAGAGAGAGAGAGAGAGAGAGAGAGAGAGAGAGAGAGAGAGAGAGAGAGAGAGAGAGAGAGAGAGAGAGAGAGAGAGAGAGAGAGAGAGAGAGAGAGAGAGAGAGAGAGAGAGAGAGAGAGAGAGAGAGAGAGAGAGAGAGAGAGAGAGAGAGAGAGAGAGAGAGAGAGAGAGAGAGAGAGAGAGAGAGAGAGAGAGAGAGAGAGAGAGAGAGAGAGAGAGAGAGAGAGAGAGAGAGAGAGAGAGAGAGAGAGAGAGAGAGAGAGAGAGAGAGAGAGAGAGAGAGAGAGAGAGAGAGAGAGAGAGAGAGAGAGAGAGAGAGAGAGAGAGAGAGAGAGAGAGAGAGAGAGAGAGAGAGAGAGAGAGAGAGAGAGAGAGAGAGAGAGAGAGAGAGAGAGAGAGAGAGAGAGAGAGAGAGAGAGAGAGAGAGAGAGAGAGAGAGAGAGAGAGAGAGAGAGAGAGAGAGAGAGAGAGAGAGAGAGAGAGAGAGAGAGAGAGAGAGAGAGAGAGAGAGAGAGAGAGAGAGAGAGAGAGAGAGAGAGAGAGAGAGAGAGAGAGAGAGAGAGAGAGAGAGAGAGAGAGAGAGAGAGAGAGAGAGAGAGAGAGAGAGAGAGAGAGAGAGAGAGAGAGAGAGAGAGAGAGAGAGAGAGAGAGAGAGAGAGAGAGAGAGAGAGAGAGAGAGAGAGAGAGAGAGAGAGAGAGAGAGAGAGAGAGAGAGAGAGAGAGAGAGAGAGAGAGAGAGAGAGAGAGAGAGAGAGAGAGAGAGAGAGAGAGAGAGAGAGAGAGAGAGAGAGAGAGAGAGAGAGAGAGAGAGAGAGAGAGAGAGAGAGAGAGAGAGAGAGAGAGAGAGAGAGAGAGAGAGAGAGAGAGAGAGAGAGAGAGAGAGAGAGAGAGAGAGAGAGAGAGAGAGAGAGAGAGAGAGAGAGAGAGAGAGAGAGAGAGAGAGAGAGAGAGAGAGAGAGAGAGAGAGAGAGAGAGAGAGAGAGAGAGAGAGAGAGAGAGAGAGAGAGAGAGAGAGAGAGAGAGAGAGAGAGAGAGAGAGAGAGAGAGAGAGAGAGAGAGAGAGAGAGAGAGAGAGAGAGAGAGAGAGAGAGAGAGAGAGAGAGAGAGAGAGAGAGAGAGAGAGAGAGAGAGAGAGAGAGAGAGAGAGAGAGAGAGAGAGAGAGAGAGAGAGAGAGAGAGAGAGAGAGAGAGAGAGAGAGAGAGAGAGAGAGAGAGAGAGAGAGAGAGAGAGAGAGAGAGAGAGAGAGAGAGAGAGAGAGAGAGAGAGAGAGAGAGAGAGAGAGAGAGAGAGAGAGAGAGAGAGAGAGAGAGAGAGAGAGAGAGAGAGAGAGAGAGAGACAGAGAGAGAGAGAGAGAGAGAGAGAGAGAGAGAGAGAGAGAGAGAGGAGAGAGAGAGAGAGAGGTAGTTAACTGAATATCAGTATATCCCATGTCTCTGATAATCTATGAACTGTGGCTCTAATTCTTAATTCTTATATATAACTCTCCCTTCCTCAGCTCAGTGGTACAGAGCCTCGACCATCACTGGTTCTTCACCTCTTGAGAAATTCTTTCAACTGAGAAATAGGTTCCTCCCTCATAACTAGGGAAGACCAATAATCATGATCTGTCTAAACTAAACTACCAATTACATATTTACTAACATCTAACGTCCATTGTCTAACGACACCATTACTCCTGCAAAATCCTGCAATAGTGAACTGTTTGGGGGCTATACTGAATTGCACTTTACTATCCATCCTTTTATTGCAAGTTCATATGTGCCATAAATTTTACACCTTTTATGATTGTTTAATTCAAATACTCACAAGCATTGTTACGGGCGCTGAGATAATCTTTATTATCTTATCACACATCAACTGATAGGTGAGGAATCACGATGTGTCTGCATTCAGACTACGGCATCAGATGCGAACAAGAAACTGTTTTATGGGTGTATGAGTCGTGAGTGACATCATCGCGACATCATACCATTAGGCCCTACGCAGCATCAGTCATCATCAACGCTACAACCACAGAGTCAACTCAAGCTTCACGTTGACGTCACTGATACGAGCACAGGGGCCATATTTTAGCACCTCCGTGACGTCATTGATACAGGGGCCATATTTCAGCACCTCCGTGACGTCATTGATACAAGGGCCATATTTTAGCACCTCCGTGACGTCATTGATACAGGGGCCATATTTCAGCACCTCCGTGACGTCATTGATACAAGGGCCATATTTGAGCACCTCCGTGACGTCATTGATACGAGCACAGGGGCCATATTTGAGCACCTCCGTGACGTCATTGATACGAGCACAGGGGCCATATTTGAGCACCTCCGTGACGTCATTGATACGAGCACAGGGGCCATATTTGAGCACCTCCGTGACGTCATTGATACGAGCACAGGGGCCATATTTGAGCACCTCCGTGACATCACTGATACGAGCATAGGGGCCATATTTGAGCACCTCCGTGACGTCATTGATAGGAGCACAAGGGCCATATTTGAGCACCTCCGTGACGTCACTGATACGAGCATAGGGGCCATATTTGAGCACCTCCGTGACGTCATTGATACAAGCACAGGGGCCATATTTGAGCACCTCCGTGACGTCACTGATACGACCATAGGGGCCATATTTGAGCACCTCCGTGACGTCACTGATACGACCATAGGGGACATATTTGAGCACCTCCGTGACGTCATTGATACGAGCATAGGGGCCATATTTGAGCACCTCCGTGACGTCATTGATACAGGGGCCATATTTGAGCACCTCCGTGACGTCACTGATACGACCATAGGGGCCATATTTGAGCACCTCCGTGACGTCACTGATACGACCATAGGGGCCATATTTGAGCACCTCCGTGACGTCATTGATACAGGGGCCATATTTGAGCACCTCCGTGACGTCACTGATACGACCATAGGGGCCATATTTGAGCACCTCCGTGACGTCATTGATACAGGGGCCATATTTGAGCACCTCCGTGACGACAGAGTGCTCTAAAGAGAGATCCCAAAATTATTTTTACCGACATACTTCCCCCATTGGCGAGGAATGTCGCTGTGTGTAAACATCAGGCTAAAGAATGCGCCAATATCCAATAAATTAGGACGGAAATAGAATTATAGGAAAGAGTCCTTCAGTGCCACGGAAAAAAAAGTAATCCAATTGTGAACGAGTCCTTTAAGTGTCACCAAACACAAGATCCTTTGGGACTCATAAAGCAAACTTAGCAAAGATGGGCGACGCGTCACCACTCATGGAGCAAACTTTCTAGAAAGCTGAAGGTGTCAATGTTGTCTAAAACTCAGTATTAATGATTGAAACACGATTGTCATGCGAGGACTCTCATCATTGTCACACCACTGTCATGCGAGGACTCTCATCATTGTCACGCCACTGTCATGCGAGGACTCTCATCATTGTCACGCCACTGTCATGCGAGGACTCTCATCATTGTCACATCACTGTCATGAGAGGACTCTCATCATTGTCATACCACTGTCATGAGAGGACTCTCATCATTGTCATACCACTGTCATGAGAGGACTCTCATCATTGTCACGCCACTGTCATGCGAGGACTCTCATCATTGTCACACCACGGTCATGCGAGGACTCTCATCATTGTCACGCCACTGTCATGCGAGGACTCTCATCATTGTCACGCCACTGTCATGCGAGGACTCTCATCATTGTCACACCACTGTCATGCGAGGACTCTCATCATTGTCACACCACTGTCATGCGAGGACTCTCATCATTGTCACGCCACTGTCATGTGAGGACTATCATCATTGTCACGTCACTGTCATGCGAGGACTCTCATCATTGTCACACCACGGTCATGCGAGGACTCTCATCATTGTCACACCACTGTCATGCGAGGACTCTCATCATTGTCACACCACTGTCATGCGAGGACTCTCATCATTGTCACACCACGGTCATGCGAGGACTCTCATCATTGTCACGCCACTGTCATGTGAGGACTATCATCATTGTCACGCCACTGTCATGCGAGGACTCTCATCATTGTCACACCACTGTCATGTGATGACTCTCATCATTGTCACACCACTGTCATGAGAGGACTCTCATCATTGTCACGCCACTGTCATGCGAGGACTCTCATCATTGTCACGCCACTGTCATGCGAGGACTCTCATCATTGTCACACCACGGTCATGCGAGGACTCTCATCATTGTCACACCACTGTCATGCGAGGACTCTCATCATTGTCATACCACTGTCATGAGAGGACTCTCATCATTGTCACGCCACTGTCATGCGAGGACTCTCATCATTGTCACACCACTGTCATGCGAGGACTCTCATCATTGTCACACCACTGTCATGCGAGGACTCTCATCATTGTCACGCCACTGTCATGTGAGGACTATCATCATTGTCACGCCACTGTCATGTGAGGACTATCATCATTGTCACGCCACTGTCATGAGAGGACTCCAATCATTGTCACATCACTGTCATGCGAGGACTCTCATCATTGTCACACCACTGTCATGCGAGGACTCTCATCATTGTCACGCCACTGTCATGCGAGGACTCTCATCATTGTCACGCCACTGTCATGCGAGGACTCTCATCATTGTCACACCACTGTCATGCGAGGACTCCAATCATTGTCACACCACTGTCATGCGAGGACTCCAATCATTGTCACACCACTGTCATGCGAGGACTCCAATCATTGTCACACCACTGTCATGCGAGGACTCAAATCACTGTCGCACTATGATAGGAAATGATCTAAGTTATTACTCATAAATCTGAAGCCTGAGAAAGTTTGTAAATTACCTGGTAGTCAGAGTCTGGGAACTTGAGCAGTTGTTGGCCAATCAGGTTAATAATCTATCTACTGTTACCAACTCTTGGATTCTCGAAGTGTAATTTGTAATTCACTAACCTGCTGTAACCTTCACTACAGCAGCCCATGTGGCACGTACGTTGACACGCACAGACGCACGGACACGCACAGACGTACGGACACGCACAGACGCATGGATACACACACACACACACGCAACTCGCACAAAGTAGAACAAGGGTCAACTCCTCCCTTACAGGTACACAAGTAGATACATGTTTTATCTGCCCCAAAAATTCCTGGTTTTGTGTGAGCACCTCGTCCTGCCCTCTGCTGCCTGCCTCTCTCTCTGCTGCCTACCTCTCTCTCTGCTGCCTCCCTCTCTCTCTGCTGCCTCCCTCTCTCTCTGCTGCCTGCCTCTCCCGGCTGCTTTACCAGCACCTGCTAGTCTGTCAGTCCCCCTCCTTCACCAGGGAGTCCTGATAATCTATGAACTGTGGCTCTAATTCTTAAGTCTTATATATTACTCTCACTTCCTCAGCTCAGTGGTACAGAGCCTCGACCATCACTGCTGCTTCACCCACTTGAGGAATTCTTTCAGCTGAGAAATAGGTTCCTCCCCATAACTGAGGAAGGCCAATAATCATGATCTTTCTAAACTAAACCACCAATTACATATTTACTAACAAAACGGTCATTGGCAATTCCAAGTTCTGACATCACAAGAGTTCCTCCGTAACTCCAGAGGGGTAAGAGTTCCTCCGTAACTCCAGAGGGGTAAGAGTTCCTCCGTAACTCCAGAGGGGTAAGAGTTCCTCCGTAACTCCAGAGGGGTAAGAGTTCCTCCGTAACTCCAGAGGGGTAAGAGTTCCTCCGTAACTCCAGAGGGGTAAGAGTTCCTCCGTAACTCCAGAGGGGTAAGAGTTCCTCCGTAACTCCAGAGGGGTAAGAGTTCCTCCGTAACTCCAGAGGGGTAAGAGTTCCTCCGTAACTCCAGAGGGGTAAGAGTTCCTCCGTAGCTCCAGAGGGGTAAGAGGTACTCCTTCAATCATTTTCATTTCATTTCTTAATTATGCACCCCATACCCTTCCCATGGGCGGTAGTGGAAAGGGTGACAGAGACACATAATATAATTCCATAGCTCGTCTAGCTCAGCAAGTGACAATCTTGGTAAGGTAGTTACACGGTTAATATCTTTCTTCGCCGCCATGACATCTTGGCAACCAGGAGAGGCGCAGCAAAATATTATGAGGATGTACCTTAGAGTACACCTTGAGTGGCTTCTGGGAGCTTGACTACCCCCCTTCCCGAGGCCCCAAACTACGGGGGGGGGGAGGGGGGGGGGAGAGAACAAGGTATTTGAATACAATGAGCATTGTAGTGGCGTCCCTGGTTGTGAGAGCTCTCATTATCCACCCAATCATTGTCCTCCCTTATGTTATGGGGGCTTAGTTATGCTCACTATACTCATAACTGGTGTACGGTGTGGGTGATGGACCTATAGTGTAGGGTACGGTGTGGGTGATGGACCTACAGTGAAGGGTACGGTGTGGGTGATGGACCTACAGTGAAGGGTACGGTGTGGGTGATGGACCTACAGTGAAGGGTACGGTGTGGGTGATGGACCTACAGTGAAGGGTACGGTGTGGAGAATGAACCTATAACTGTGATACTGCTTGGATTATACTGTTACAGCATCTTACAGGTTATACTAAGAACACAGCAAGAACCACATGGCCTAAATTCAACGAGTTTTGTAGTATTATAGTACAGTTATTTGCACAGCTCCTGGCAGGGGTACCAGGAGCTGAAGCTCGCATGTAAGCACACGAAAACGCACGCACACAAACAGGCCCAAACACGTGAGCACACACACACACACACTCGTCAAATCCTATTCAATACACAGTTTTAAATGTATATACGATAAGAAAAACGAGTGAAAAAAAAGAGTTATTGCGTCGGACTTAAGAGCTAACGCTCGACCCAGCAAGCACAGCTAGGTGAGTACACACACTAGTATTGTGTCTGTGGCGGCTGTTTTTAACGCTAATGTTGGTACTTTGCTGCTGCTGCTGCTGCTGCTGCTGGTGCTGCTGCTGGTGCTGCTGGTGCTGCTGCTGCTGCTGCTGCTGCTGCTGCTGCTGCTGCTGCTGCTGCTGCTGCTGCTGGTGCTAGTGCTGCTGCTGCTGCTGCTGCTGCTGGTGCTAGTGCTGCTGGTGCTGCTGGTGCTGCTGGTGCTGCTGCTGCTGCTGGTGCTAGTGCTGCTGCTGGTGCTGCTGGTGCTGCTGGTGCTGCTGCTGCTGGTGCTAGTGCTGCTGCTGGTGCTGCTGGTGCTGCTGCTGCTGGTGCTAGTGCTGCTGCTGCTGCTGCTGCTGCTGGTGCTACTGGTGCTGCTGCTGCTGCTGGTGCTGCTGCTGCTGCTGGTGCTAGTGCTGCTGCTGCTGCTGCTGCTGCTGGTGCTAGTGCTGCTGCTGGTGCTAGTGCTGCTGCTGGTGCTGCTGGAGCTGCTGGTGCTGCTGGTGCTGCTGGTGCTGCTGCTGCTGCTGCTGCTGCTGGTGCTAGTGCTGCTGCTGGTGCTGCTGGTGCTGTTGCTGGTGCTGCTGCTGCTGCTGGTGCTAGTGCTGCTGCTGGTGCTGCTGCTGCTACTGGTGCTGCTGCTGCTGTTGCTGCTACTGGTGGTGCTGCTGCTGTTGCTGCTACTGCTGTTGCTGCTGCTGCTGCTGCTGTTGCTGGTGCTGCTGCTGCTGGTGCTAGTGCTGCTGCTGGTGCTGCTGCTGCTGTTGCTGGTGCTGCTGGTGCTAGTGCTGCTGCTGGTGCTGCTGCTGCTACTGGTGCTGCTGCTGCTGTTGCTGCTACTGGTGGTGCTGTTGCTGGTGCTGCTGCTGCTGGTAGTGGTGCTGCTGCTGCTGTTGCTGCTACTGGTGGTGCTGTTGCTGGTGCTGCTGCTGCTGGTAGTGGTGCTGCTGCTGCTGCTGCTGCTGCTGCTGCTGCTGCTGTTGCTGGTGCTGCTGCTGCTGGTAGTGGTGCTGCTGCTGTTGCTGTTGCTGGTGCTGCTGCTGCTGGTAGTGGTGCTGCTGGTGGTGCTGCTGCTGCTGCTGCTGCTGGTGCTGCTGCTGCTACTGGTGCTGCTGCTGCTGTTGCTGGTGCTGCTGCTGCTGGTAGTGG